TATACAAATTATATTAGTGGTCATATGATATTTCTTATTTCTATATATAGTAAAATCAACATTCTTTCAGATTTCCTGTTGTAAGTGTAGGTATAATTAGATGGGTGGAGTGTACTGTAACTGAACCATCATATTTTAAATTGTGCACAGAACATTGTCCTGTACATCTTGCATTACTTGATGAAGTTGTAGTTTGCCATTCTTTACTGCATCCAAAAGTGTTACAACTTCTTGTACAGTTATTTGAAAGTAAACAAGACGAACTGGAAATACTTGTGCAGGTAAGAATATTTTAACCATATGTTTAATAATTAATATCAATATGCAGAGTGTATACTACAGAGTGTATATATACAGAGTGTATCCACTTTAATTTACTATTGCAAATATTTCGAAAAGTACGCTAGGTAGAAGAGTATACTTTTAGGACATTACAAGAGATCGTCAGAACGTCGTAAAATATAGCAGGATGTTGCAGGTGAAGGTATTTAAGATAGATGACATTTTTTTATTGGGATACGTACATTTTTTTAGTGGAATCATATAATTTTTAATGCACTGATCGATACAACTAATTCCCTATAAAAAGGTATTAACATATTTGTATTAAAAAATAATTAATTTATCCTTATATTTCCTGGAATGTCATGACGTATTTCTTTCTGCAAAATGATGAATAGTAATGAGAAAAATTTAGGTATTTTCTGTATGATTTTATTAGAAAGTTTATGACATAGCACAATGAAAGTAATGAATTTATTTAAATTTTTAAATATTCAAAGATATTGACTTAATTGCTAATGCATGCTTGTCTTCTTCCTCTTTAGCTTTAAAGAGTTCTTAGCATTTCTTACATATTATTCTTAGCATTATGATACTGCGGAATGTGTTTATAATCCATCCTTTTTGTGGAAAAGGACTTGTTAGTTTATCAACTATTGTGGTTTAGTATGCATAAACATTTTCTTTTACATAACCTCAATGAAGGAAATTCATGACCGTTAAGTCGGCAGTTCTTGATAATCATTCCAGAATTTCTATGACAATAATCATGTTTTATAATTAACCTAATGTGACAACTTTTTTCTTATAAAAGTAATGTTTAACATACATTAACTCGGCAGTGGAAACGTAAGAAAAAATGAAAAAGGAAAACAAAATATTACGTTTGAAATTACATATGTTCGAAAAAAACTTAATAATCTGCCGCAGATTTGGATGTACGGGTACTCGAGATTACAGGTTTTGGCGTAGTGGGTACTTGCAACGTATGAATGCTTGGGTTGCCCGATACTTTTTTTGGTAATTCGACATTCAAGGTCTCTCTCTCTCTCTCTCTCTCTTCCAAAGACCACTTGAAATATAGATTTTTAGAATAGTGTTTTTCTTCTAAGAATTGACTCCTGCACAGCTCGAAAAGTGAGAAGATAGATATAACAAGATATAACGAGATAGATATGGCACTTCAATGGGATGCCGCAAGTGAAAAATATAATCGGTAATTATGTAAAAAAGGGGATATTTCACCGATTTGAATAAGCTTGAAACATATGTACACATGTTGTCAAGCTTGTCATTCTGAACATCTTTTTATACCGTATATCGTTAATGTAGCCGATTATTTCGCCGAGAGTATCTTTATTACCGCTAAGTCAAAAGCTGAAAGCGATCCACACGCTTTTCGAACATTTAGATAACACGCACTATCGCGGCGATAGAGATTATTGACATTGCGACGATCTACAGCCTTCGGGCGACATCACAGCTCTTTAATATGATTGTATCTCTATCTAGCAACATCCTACTTATATTCTATTATCTACAATGTCGTCCCCGATCTTCGACAACTTTTCACAAAGCATTTTCTTCTTCTAAGGATACTTCTTAAAATATTTGCAATAATACAATTAAAATCAAATATTCTATATAATTAAAATTATTTTGCGGATGTTTTAAAATATCTTCGTAATAAATTTGACATATATTATTCCGTATTTTTAAATAGCAACTAATGAACTCTTATTTTGAAGAAAAATTACTATTTTCATTGAATATTATTTTAGAGGATCAAAAATTATTGACTTCTTTTACGTACAATTATACCCAATTTTTTATGCTTTCGGTAGGTTAATGAATCCGAAAATGCAGGTTTGAAGTTGCGAAATTCAGTGGTTTAGAAATTGCAATTATGTAAAACTAACCATTTTTAGAATATTGTTACTTTAACGTCATATTGGCTTCTACTCATACTTCATCCAATGAGTGAATCGCACAGATGAGCATTTACGTGCTCTCAACTTACGCTTACCTTATTAAAAAATGTAATATCCTCGGATTTCGGCCATCAACGATGCCATCAAATCGATATTCTTATGACGGAAAAAATGTCGATATAAAAATTCGTATAGGCGATCGACAAATATGTCATCATGGAAGCGACCCTTTTTCAGTATTTAGATGGTTGCCAATTGGATTTTATTTTTTGAGTATGCATACCATGAGAGGCTGTAATTAAATTCGCGAAAAAGTTAGCTTATACTAACGTAACCGATCGTTTCACGACGCTTGGGAAATAAATCCTAACCCGGACCAAAACCATGGTGATTGACTGTTTTATGTACGTATCTTTCTATAGCTAACCTGGCATAACGTTTGAAATGAATGAAAAGGAATAAAAAATAAAGTGAAAGACTATAAAAAAAGCGATAAAAAAGAAAATAAGCGTAACGACGTAAAAATACACAAATGAATACCCCGGAAACATTGGAAAAAGTATTATGAGATAAATATAAAAGTTATATCAGGGTGAAAGATCAAACATACAAAATACATGTAGTCAAATACATTTGACTTAACCCGCCAAAATAACTGCAATTCATGTGCAGTCAGTGGTTCCATGGAGTCCAATCATTGCACAGAACATGGATAGAAGTCAATATAGCATTAAAATAATGTGCAATATATTCTGGAAATGTTCAATTTTATATAGTCATAACTTTTGAACCACTAGATTACGCAACTTAAAACTTGTATTTTCAAATTCTACGTATCGAAAAGTACAAGATTAAAAATATAAAAAATCAATAATTTTTTGTTCTTGAGTAAAGTTCAATCAAATTTGATATAATATAATCAATTACTTGATATAGAATGAATTTCTTTTAACATATATATCGAAAAGAATGTCACTCTTAAGGCACATAGTTCCGAGAATTATTTGTTACTCAAAAGATTAAAAAAATTCATTCTTGCTTTTTTTCATCTGTAGTCATTTCATTCTTAGTTGTGCCATTTTGGGCATTCATTATGAGTAAGTTTATAATTTATTTATTAATCCTTTTGCTTATTTAGCACGTTGTTAAGGAAACGAATGTAAAACACATTAGTAGCAATTTTATACTTACTATTTTTGTGAATTAATAATCTTTCTTCTTTAATTTTCAGTTGGAAATGAAAAAAATGTTAATTGATAGAATGGTGAACTTATTAAGTAGAGGTTGCGTGGTACCAGTAGTGTGTTACATCAAACAGTGTTGGCAACGTGGAGACACAGATGTATCATTAATTAGATATTTTGTTACAGAGGTATTGTAAAATTATTTTTTAAATAAATGTGTACATACACAGCATGCTTAATGATACTAAGATGGTATTGTATTAGGTTTTAGAAGCAATAGCTCCACCATATACAGCTGAATTTATTCATTTATTTCTTCCTATGGTTGAAGATGAAGAAATTACAGGTACAATGCGTGGTGATAGCGACAATGATCTTGTTTCAGAATTTATAGGTGAGTTTATAAAATCTTACATGTAGATTATATTTAATTTCTGATCTGAGTTTATAAAATCTTACATGTAGATTATATTTAATTTCTGATCTGACTTTTTCAGTACACTGTAAAGCACATTGCCCGACTATAAGATGATCTATCGCAAGGAAGGTGGATTAAATGAAAGAAGCACATAATATTATTAGATATTTTTACTTCATATAAGAATGTTGAATTGCTATATATAAATTCTTTCTATACTATTTTATTAGATCCTTTTCTTATTTCATATACAATATCCAAGGATATATATATATAGTTGAAGAGTTGGATGAGTCTTTCCTCGATCTGTGATATCATAATTTATGGATTTTCTGCAACAAAAATAACGAAATGTAATTTTTGTAACTTACCAAATTTTTTAAATAAATGAATAAAATTAAATAAGTTTAATTTCTGCTCAATAAAACGTTAAAATGTCAAACGGTCCATAACAAAATTATAACATATTCTATATGTAACATATGCTTTTTAACTATATGTTAGTGTATATCACTATTAGTATTTAACTAATTATGATGTACAAGGTATCTCTTAACATACAGAGCATATATTCATGGTATTATACAATCCTGAAACTAATGCTTCTATATGAAAATGAGATGAAAATGTTTAATATTATTTTTGCTTGGAACTGTTTCCGAATAAATCCTCATTTTCACTTAAAAATCTAGTTTAGATTTTAACGATTCCTAATTGTATATGTACAGGGTGGGATTAGTTTGTGACAATATCTTTATCGATGCCAGTTTTATCGACATCATTTATATACTAACAATGTCCTCCTCAACACTCAGAGACACTCACTCAGTTCGGTGAAATGAGCGTCGACGAAAATATTATCAGTGATTTCAACATATCGACAAATAAACAATGTCGACGAAACCGGGGTCGGTCAAATGGTGATAAAAACATCAATGGTGATCAGAAACCAACCCCACAAGGCGAATTCTGGTCCGAACCTAGACTTAGTGACCGAACCGAACTATAACTCTGTTCTTATTGTAGATAGAAAGACTGCTTTGTTTGCATTACATTGCACTGTTTATTATCATATAGTTCGATTTTTCACAGAAATGCATCGGCACATCCAAATGTACATTTTTAAAAAAATGGAATCTTACGATTTTATTTGCATTAACTGATTCTTTGTGGTATTTTAAACAGAAAGGTACCTCATCTTTGATTCTGATAATTTTGAAATATGTTATAGATATCAATATTTTGAACTACTATTTCTTATACACATAACCAGCGGTCGACCTTAGCATTTGAGATATTCTAAAAAAAACTGCTGATATCACTACAGTGTGTTTCAGTCTATAGTTGTAAATCTGTGCCAACGTGTGCGTCAGTATTGATTACTAGGTATTTATCTTCTGTTCATAAACGGGTATTTATAAATATGTACAGTTGTATGAAACCCAAACCCAATTAATGTACATTAATGGTATTCATTTTTAATTGAGTTGTAACAAACATTTCTTACAGCCTTGTATATGCAATTGTGCACGGGACCTATAAATAAATAACTAATAGCAGTTGGTGACCAGCAATATTCACACATACGTTATAGAATGTACTATATACAAAATAATTCAATGTGCTCTAAAAAGAACCGGCAATTTTTCGCGAATATCTCGGAAACTAAGCGAGCTCAGCTCTTAGTGTACAGAAAAGAATTAATCAAAATATTGAGTTTTACAACATATTCAAAAATCATCGAAATCACCCTAATTAATTAATATGTTGCTATAATAAATACACTGATATGCCAATACTTTTTGTATACATTGTAGATATATATATATATATATATTACTGAAAGCGATACATTGCAAGTTATAGCTAAGTGCACGCGTACTCGACGAATTTTCGACATCGATTTACTCAGAATTAAAATCTTGTCTGAAAAATGATTATTATATATTTTGTTTCTATTTTATCATATCAAGCCTTCTTAGATTGTACTATCTATGATTATACCGTTCGATTATACCTTGTACTTATATAAATTTCACACATTTCACACATTTATATAGTAGATATGTTAGTAGTAAATTATTTAATATTGAACAGGGAATCTCCATATCTAAATCTCCTTGCTGTTATATGTTATGCACTAAAATATTTGTGATAAATAATGCTCATGCATTCCTATATAAACATTTCACGCTATATGAAATCCGAATTTAAGACTTACACATGATTGTACATTTACGCATGTTTATTTGTTTATTATTATTGTTTTTCAGCTGTAATGAAAAAGTATTATTGTAAGTCATATATATATATATACACATAATCTAATATGCTATAACGTACGCACTATGTGTCCTGTTAACACACTGTTGACCAACTATCTTATGACAAAAATAACGCATACTACCGGGTATTTTTATTATTGAACAAAAATTGAATAGAAATTTTAGTGTTTTCATTAAATAGCAAATGAATCATATATTTTTTAATACATCAATCGATGCAATTTGTCTCTACACAAAAGTATTAACCTATTTATACCGAAAAACAATTAGTTTAGCAAATATTTTAACTTTGATTTGTGAAATTCAATGTATGAAAGACAAAGACGATGTGAACACAAGAATACCGCTTAGCGTCTGTCCTTGTCCTTTACACATTAAATTTGACAAATTTTTTTTAGATATAAACCAGTTAATATTTCTATATAGAGAGTGACGAGCTGCATCAGTCAATGCATTAAAAGGTGTATGATTCCATTTAAAAAAACAAAGTTGACTTTCATAAGTTCCTGATACATCAAAGTTCATACAGAAAAAAAAACTATTAACATAAGAATGCACCTCTCTATGAAACCATTTGAATCAATGTGAAACATTTCTCGCTGCAAATAATAACAGTCACATGAACTGAAGTAACATCTGGTGAAGGATACTTCATATAGTGAAATATAATATATATGTGCTAAAATGGATCTAATTGTCCAGTATTTTTCAGATACTGATTTATAGATATGGATCAATTTTTGAAGGTATATGATTTCTAACTATACGTAACTAAATAGTATACTGAAATAATATAGCTTTATATCGAACAGAATACAAAACTAACTATAATTATGGTAACTATAATTATTTTACCTGCAAATAAAGAATAGAATGTTTATATTATAGTATAATTGTATAAGATAGTAACACAAAGTAATGTACATATTGTCTTTTTCAAAATAATATACTATTCTTGATAAAATAAAAATATATGTAGAATATAATTTTGGTCATTTTATTTTATATAAAATAAGTTATGGTATAAGCAGATTAATGAAAATAGGAAATAAAAGCAATTACACATGAGAGACCAAAGTATTCGTATTCTCCAAATTTGGGTGGACTCGCATTGTTTTGCCTAATGCATATGAATTGAATATTGAACTTTGATTGAATTACGTTATTTTCTTGAACCTATAAAACTTATTTTTATGCATTTTTTCTGAGAAATACATGAATCCTATATTCTACAGTTTAATTAATGCATAAATTCAAACATTTTGAAATTTTGACATGTAGCATTTTTCCGTACAGCCACAGATATATATGTACACATCTTATATAATATATATATAAACTCACGTTATTTAAAAATATTACTGTATCTTTCTGTATAAATAATACAAAATAAGTTAAAAATTACAGTTATATACTTACTAATAGGTTTACCATCTTTCCATTGGGTAAATTTTACGTTTATTTCATCACGTTTTAGGGCATCTGATCGGAGCTCTGCTTTCAAAGCTTGTCTAACAAGTCTGGCAGCTATTTGCGAATAATTAATATAACTGAAATGTGAACACAGATTATATAATGTTTTTCAATAGTGGATATTTAACATTAAAAGCAAGTATCTTTGAAATAAATATTTTACTTTAATCCCGCTTGTCTCCACGCAGACATTTCTGCTGATAGCTTTATTTAAAATAGTGCTTTTAATTTAACTCCAATGTGATAAATTGAAATTGATCAAATAGTTTTTTAACCGAATCTCTTATATCTGCATCTAATTTCACGATCTTAAGTCGTAAGCGTACGTTGTAAGGAACCACGGTTGTATAACTCCTTGCAATAACTGTTCTTGTATACACACTCAGATTTGGAAACTCCAGTGGAGGGGATAAGGCTCTTTTGGGGATAAAAAATGTCTCTCAAGGCGCTTCAATCGATTTGTTAGGCTTGGTTCTGTAGCGCGCCTTGTATCTGTAATCTACAATCTCCGATACGACTGTGTCTATAACTGAACTGTACTCTGTGTTATATCAATCTACATTTATTTACATAATTAATTGTACCGTGTCACATAAAATATTGTATGTTTACTTTAAATACATTGAAAAATTGTTATAAAATTATAATTATGAAAAGTTTAATTTATATTTTTCACCTTCAGTGGTAAGGATAACAAAGATGGCGTTAAATGCAAAAGTTTAACAAATGGATCGCAGCGCTATGGCTAGCGGCTGATTTATAAAACACACCTCCGGATATTAAGAACCTTATCCCTTCCACTGGAGTTTCCAGACCCTGTGTATACGACCGTGGTAAGAAAGGACCACGATTATATAAATTGGTCTTAACCACTCAATGTCAAAAGCATTGAAGAAATCGTCTGAAAATTGAGTCATGAAGAATCAATATACAAGACAGGACTGTAAATATCTCAGCAGAGACAAAGGCACTCTACTGATCTCTATATATCTCGCAAGAACGAGAACTTTGTTTTCTTACATGTTGATTTTTCACGACTCAATTTTCGGATGTTTTTCCCTAGCCAGTATCGAGATCTGTTTATATGATCCTAGAAGGGCATGACATATATAAGAATATTAGCAAGAACATAGATATTACAACTTTAAGATAGATACTATTATAAACTAACTTAGAATTTCAGAATTTTAATTTCATTTATAAGAATTGAAAAGTTATATGACATATATGACACATCAAAAATATATATCTGTATTATTTGAATAATTACAAATATACACAACTCAACATAAAAATTTGAAAATAAAACTAGGAATATTTTCGACATATTTTTTAAATTATTGATTAATTTATCGCAACAATCGCATATAATACAATACAGTATAATTTAAATAAACAATCATTAAAAATTATATAAAAAGAATATTTTACTACTAGGGAAATTTCATGTAAACTGATAAATAATTACATTTTATACAAAATGTAAATGTATGAATGGAACATTCCGTAGCAGCTGGTCACTGGTCACTGACTTCTAGGAAGTTTCTAGCAAGATGTCGGAGGGTGTTTTGCGTGACAAGCCGCTAGTATGCTTTTGGACGATATGACTTGCTTATTGCAGTGTATGTATACAAAATTCCGGCCTATATTAAATCCCAAAGTGTTGCAATATTGCTGAAGTTAAAATTGAAGTTTTAACTACTATTATAATATTAAAAAAACAAGAAAACTAGGACTATTTGCAAAAATTGTGTCAGTGCGTGTACCACTGCCAAGACCAATATTTGGAATGTTAATTTTTCTTCTGATTGCGGGATAAAATTTTCAGTTTGAGCAAAAACTTTTACCAAAATTGACAAACGCGTTATTATTATTTAAAATTGGGATGGGAGCTAAAGCAAGTACTGTTGCACAATCTGCTGGAGGTAATGGACAATCCTCTACTGGAGCAAATGAAACTGCAATGCAAGGATTTTCTATGCTACGTTCTCTTCCTGGAGGTGTTAGCATGTTACAGCATCAACATCAGCAAGGAAATCAATCACAAACTTCAAGAGTATCCGGAGATAGTAGGCAACGTGCTCGTTCTTTAAGTTCAGTACCGGATCTCTCATCTGGTGAACAAAGTAGTCTTGCTTCCTCAGTTGGAGTTGGAGTTGGTCAAGCACTTGGTTTGCCACAACTTGAATCAGATGATCCTGATGAAGACAGTGGACGAGTTTACTCAGCACATAGCTTGCCATCCCATATCTGGTCTCTCAACGGTAAGTTTATTAGTTTATAGATAGATTATAACATTCAAAGTAATGGCTCTACCTGTTTATTAGTTACTATTACTTTTATAAGCATATATTATAGTGGATACATGTATTATGTATATATATATATATATATATATATATGTATATATATATATACTTTATACACATACATATATCTGCATATAGTATAATAAATATACAAATGATGTAATGTAAAATATTTTAAATAAATTTGTAACTCTTTTGTATGAAATTATGACTAAATTTATATAATCTAAAAAAATTAGAAGAGTAAACTTGTATTAACTAATATGATATGAATGTTATTGATTACATAACTTTCTATGATATACAGATCTCTAGAATAATCATAAATACAGATAAGCTTCTTAGTTTTTATTTTTGTTTATTTTAGAAAATAATAAAGTAGGTCGTTATATTCTTATTTTGTTTTTATTAATATTATATGAATTTCATTAAGTATAATAATGTCTTCAGTCTTTAATCGATTATATTTGTTAACCGTATTAGAATTTCAAATAGTGCATTATAACCGTTGTAAAATTTTGAGAAAATAAAAGTGAGGTTATGTTGAGGTCTAAAAATTTTACGAAATAAATGAGAGTTGAAATAAAGCATACCTGTTTGACTCATGTTGTCGTAATAGTTGGCCCGGTAACCATACGAATCGATTGTATTTTAACCTAGGTGCGTAAATTTTAAATTGCGGTTGTAGAATAAAAGTAATTATAGACAAAGAATTTCGTACGATTTTAAAATATTGTCTATGTGATGGGTATGTTAAAATTATTTGAATTTTATTATGGGAATTGTAATAAGTTCATGTCTAAATGAATCTGAGGCAGAAGTTGTTCCAGTAAATCAAGTGAGAAGAATTTTTTATGGTATAACTTTTGTTAGTTTCACGTTAATAAGTATTATGATGTAAAAACAACAAATAATTATTTTATTTTATATTCAAGGTCTAAAATGTCCTGTTTGCTCCAAGTTTGTTCTACCAGACGATATTGAATGTCACTTGGTTATGTGTTTAACCAAACCACGTCTTAGTTACAATGGTAAGTTTATATTTTATGTCATCTGTTTTTATAGAATACAATAATTTTAGACTTTTTGATTACTATATATGTACTATTACTTTTTTCAATAACTGATATATAATGAGAATAAGTTTTTTATACATGTGTGTATAATGTAATTCATATAACTCAAATATCTCAGAAACAATTTAATTAATTTTAATTATTTTGATACAAAATTATTTTACATGGCTCTAAAATTTGTGTCAAATTAATTTTCTATTCACTTCTTTCTAAATGGAAACTTAAGTAAAGGAAAGTGCTTTATAATATATATTAGGCAGTAAGAGACTCTATATAACAATTTCTATATATAATAATAACATTGCATAAAATATTTTTTTAAAACTATTTCTTTTTGTGTTACAAACGTTTGAAGTTTAAAATGATATATATCAATTGATTTGAATTTTATGAAATAGACATGATGCAAATAAGCTCATTATATTGAATTAAATTTATTAAATGTTCAAATTGTTATCTATGAACATGTAAACATTTAATTATTTCAAACACAACAGTGCTTTTAATGTAAAATAGTATCTGAGGTGTTATCGCAATAGATGCTTTTATTATTTTTTGCTACATTCTTTATGGTTGTTTCTTATTTAAAGAAGTACATTTTTTGTATTTTGTTTTTATACACATATGGTACAGGAGATTGGAATAAAAGTATATTTAGTTTCTGACAGCAATTAAAAAGGAATGTTAAAAGAAAAAAATTAATGGTTCAAGAACTGTATTTTCATGATCATATTTCTAAAGTAATTATTGTTATTCATGTGTATCTTATAGTTGGACTATTTTTTAATGTTTCTCATAGAATTTAATGGATATATACTTTATCTTTAAAGTAACTCTACAGAAAAAAGTTTGGTGATACTTGTGTATTAATCATGTTAATATTATTCTAAACTTAATTGACATTATCACTGAAACAGTTGGAAATCCTAATTTCAAATATTATCATTAAAAATATATGAACAATATTAATTCTAGAATGCTTAAGGAAGGAAGGATGTTAAGTATGTCCAGAGAATTAGAAATATTAGTAAACCTTTTAAAACCTTAAGCGTATTAGGCTTAACATTTAGGATATGGTTCTACACATTAATATTAAATCTTATTTAAAGATGTATGATGTATGATGTTTGAAGATGTGAGGTGTTGATAAACTTTTAATATGTATTACATAGTACTAACATGGTAGTCCTAAGATATGGGCATTTCATGGCCCATGTATATTTGGTATGTCAATTACTTCAGTTTTAGTAAATTTACATATATCTATTTGTTTACATCATTTTTTGAGGGATACTAAGCGATACTGTACAATAAGCACATCCTTGCTCCTAATATGATAAAGATAAATTCTAGTATGATAAAAAGTGCTGTCCCAGATAGAAAAGGTTTATAGCATTGTTGTCATTGTAAGGAGTACATAAGGTAGTCATCTATCTGAGTTATTTGGACATATGTGAAGACCTCACACCTATAGTATTTTATTTTATTTTCGTTAATTTGCAAAAAAACATTCTGATATATATGTTAATTATACGTGTGTGGTATACAATAATAAATTTAGTGATAGTCAATAAATAAAAATTTATAAGAAAAATTAACACAAGTGTTATAATCTTTGGTATATTATTTAAACAAATGGATTTGTTTTTAATGTGTTTACGTAGTCATTCAAAAGCACAACATCCACTGATATAATTCCTTTGTTTTGAATAATTTCCGAGATATAACAAAATATGTTTTCAATTTCTAATTTCAAAGATTGTTTTCATTCTGTAGATGTAGACGATTATCAATAAATAAATGTGAGTTGAATATATTTTAGCAAAATAGCTGCCTCAAAAATGTTATCAACATCAGTAATTTACAAATAAAAGACTTCCCTTCTTGTTAAATTTTATAAATGCATCATATTTCTATAAAGCATTCTTTAATTTGTAGAAGAATTTTTATGAGGGTTATCGACGGCATATTTTTTTCAATAGATTTTTGTGTGCCCATAGAATAATGAAACTATTTAACTAATTTGCAAAAGAGCATACAAAAACCAGTTTAAAAAACAGCATCGTATGCATTATAGTTATTGTTAAAAAAACATGTTTGTAGAAAATAATCCTCTTGAACTTTTTTTTTCTTTCTATATTACCTTTTTGCAATCAGAAAAAAGATATGTCTTGTCCTAGTTGATGAAGCATTCTATATATACAATATGCATAAAAAGTAAGTGATTTTACACCTTTGGATCGATGCCGATTTGTAAACAAAATTCGTATAAAATTAACGAGCATAATCTTTAAGACTAAAATTTTTTTATAGCAACATGTTGTACTCATCGCAAATGGCCCTTCTCTCGAAAAAAAAGTATCAAAGTTTTAATAATTCTTAAAGTAGCTTTATACACAATGCATCTACATTCTGCAGTTAGATCCAAGAAAAGTAACATCTGTTATTGCACTTAGACGTTTCAGATTCTCCGTTGTATATCCCATATCTTCCCTTCTTTCTTTCTTGTCTTTCTTCTTTTTCTCTTTCTGTTGATATAAATAGCTCCGAACCCCGAACGGGGTCATTTGTGACCAAGGGTTTGGGACCTTTATTGCTTGCAAGTAGAATACGTTGCAATAAATAACATTTTCTACCTTGAACTTGTTTTGCAAATATCCACTGGTCCAGGGCCGTAGAATCGTGCTACAGTCGTTTTTATATTTACTTTTTATACAAATATATACCATTGAACATATATAAGACAATGTACATTGTATACAATAGAACCTGGTTTATGCGAACAGGTTGGAGGACAAAGCAATTGGGATAAATTCCTATAATAATAAACGTTCACACACATATCCATTATAAGAATAAGTGTTTATATGTATTACGAAATTACGCTTGGTCATAGTTTGGATAATAAAGGCTCAGCATTAACTTTGAGCATAAAAGACGTGCGGATAAGCGAAGTTCTACTGTACATACATATACAATGTAGAATACATTATGCAGTGCGCTAGGTCAATTATCACAACCAAGTATTTTTTAAATAAAAGAAAATGTCAAAAAACTATTTGTTGGAGCCTTTATAATTATAAAGGTTATATTATTTCTGGTATATATAATATGTAGTGTTTTTAGATGGAGTTGGTTCAGAACTTTTAAGGACATTTTTTTTTCTTAAGTGGAATGTTACATTTTCGACTAGATGGTGATGTAAAAATGAATACAAAGATATACTATATTATTATTTGCCTCGACAGACATAATTTACTTTGTACTAGTGAAATCAGTATGCATAGAAATATTTATTAATTTTTAGTTTGCTACTTTTTAGTTACTTGCTAAAAAACCTTTAACATTAAAAAAACATATAACAAGTAGTCAAACCATCTTCCAATAATTTCCAAATATACTTGCATTGCTATTTGTGAATAATATACATTGTATATTTTCTTACTTATCTTAATCGTAAAGATTACAGAATTGCTTTGGCATATTTCATAAAATTTTATAGTTTTGTTATAATTAATATTTAATTTTTAATAAATACTTCAAGTGTTTCTATAGTTAATTGTATCATTATTTTTAAATAACTTTTCTAAATTATATTTCATTATTAATTTGTTTTGCACGTTATTCATATTTTCTAAAGTTTTGTATGATTATTAGATTCTCAAACATTAATTTTGTTTTGATATAAGTTTGAATTTTTTGTATATTGCATCGTATATTGCATCGTATATTGCAACACACAAGCACATTGGTATTGGAGTAGGATCTATCTTTCATATTCCATAATATGAAATTCACCGCTAGGAACATACACGTTTCACTTTGTACGTAATACTTCTTTACAATCTAATAGCAAAGTATTTACAGCAGAGCATATAACATTTTCTTTCTTATTTTCATTTATACACACAGTAACATGCTTCTGCAATTTGTTTGGAAAAGTAGAAAACACTGTGTAGTTTTTATTTCCATACATACACGTATACTTCATAAACATAAATTTCTAGTACATTATAATGTAATAAATATTACATTATAATAGGTATATATTTATAAATATATATTATACAAATATATAAGTATATATTTTATATATGGACTAATATATGGATATAATATATGAATATATTTATAAATAATTTTTAATTTAAATCTTAAAACATTCGTTCATTTTAATCAGTCGAAACTTCATTAATAAATGGAATTGCATAATCATTTATTTTCCAAGTGGTGTAAATCCATTTTCTATAATTTGTAGCTTGTTTGAATACCCGAGGCACCAATAATTATAAACAAATGATATTGAAATTAAACAACAGTAGTGTTTTCTTTGCTCTTATTTATAAACAAAATGGATTAAAAGATAAAACATAAATTTTAAATAATTAAAATATAATGAATTGTACAATTCATTAGTTTTAAAAGTGACGTAGGTCCATTCATGACCCAGAAAAGAAATATTGGTATTGTTAATTCTCGCAAAAATTATTTATGAGCTAAGTAGCCCTTATTAGGATTTTTCAATCAATGAAAACACGAACACTTCAATATCTTATAATAAAGAAAAATGAACTTACATCATTTTCAAAGGTCCATATATAAAAGTGCACACGCGAATGTGTAAATATTATAATAAATAAACAATTGTATATAATATATATGAATATATATACACGCATATATTTAAAAAAAATGTTTAATAGCTATATAGCTATAATATATATATATATAATATATATAATATAGCTATAATATATATATTATATATATATATATATATGTCGGAGATGAAAGAACACCGGAGTCTTTGGAATTTTGATTAATCCCGCAACATTGTAACGTAGAGTCTACTATAGCTGTAATTAAACAATTGTAGTTATTCAATCCGATTGTAATTGTTCGAGAATTGTGATAATGAGCTTGGGCTCGAGGCGACAGCCAGTCGCCGAACGTAGCCGGCGGTCACGGGATGAACGCTTTGTCTAACAAAGGCATGGAATAATTCTATAGCTCTCCTTAAAAAGGAAATAGTTGTAACACTCGACAGTAAACATTCCAACGGTCTCTGTCCCGTAGCTCGCCACACGCAGACCCTATTCTTCGAGTAAGATGATTGTCAGATGTCGATGCGTCTCCGCAGTACATGTTCAGCTAGCTCGAGGGCCCGTTATAAATCTTAAGATTTAGTCAACTAAAGTCCTTCAAACAGACAAACAGTCTTTGTCCCAACTACGGGAAAATAGGGGAGACCTATTTTTCAACGAGCGGCGTCTCCCTAGCAACTTTCCCTCGAGGGCGGCTAGCATCTTTTTCTAACCACCGATATGGAGATTGACCAATTAG